CTTTCAATCCTTAAAATCACACTCAATTGACGGGATGATTTATTGTATAAATTATCTTAGTTTTTAGTAATATAAATGAAATTTGGTGCAAATTTTATAAGATTGATGTTTTATCCCGTCTCTTTACATAGCTCACTGTATTTCCACATCCACACTCAGTCCCTTGTTCGCATAGCACCAGTCCGGTGTCCATAGATATATCATCTTCCGATCCTCCTTCAGCCACTGCAACTTCTAATTATTCAAAACAGCATGCCTCAGAAGACTCAATTATTAGTCGCAAAAGCTCATCGCGTAGTCATCTACTTAGGTCCCGCTCAAAATCTAACCTAGCTACCCATACTTCTGAATTATTGGACAGTGCAACCCCACATGAAGAGAATCAGTTGGAGGAAGAGGATGTTGATACAAGTGTGCCTAACTTTGAGCTGGATGTAGAGAATCATTTCCAGAAAAATGAACAAACTACTGACGATAAGTTTGAAGTCAACCAAGATTATTCTTCACGTTTCTGGAAGAGTGCAATTACTGGTGAGTAAACTAGATAAATTCGTGTTATGTAAATGACAATTAACCTTGAAACCAAACTTCCCTGTAAAAGCCCCCAGATTGTCACTCTTTGATAGTTTGCTTTAGCGTCTCAACTAATTCGAAATCGGGTCGAAAATTCGGAAGCTAATGGTCCTAGTCTGACCATGATGTGTGTTTTTAGTCCTTTTTCGTGTACTATATGGTATATAACAGTAATTTTTGAGTTTTCGCGTCAAAACTGTGTGTTTCATGCGTTTGCTAACCTAATTAGTTTTCTACCATTTTATGTCTCGGAAGTGTACGTGTAACGTGATTAATTTTGCTCATTCACGTATTACAAGTTTATTTACTTGATTTTAACTCATACTTTTTGGATGAGGACAGGCGATCTACAAGAATCCCTAAAGGTAAAGCGAGGTTCAAATGTGGGACCTACTGGTTGAAAATCGGGTATTTTAAAAATTTGCCACCGCTCCATATTTAGCTGATAATATTAATAGAATGTATAGTATGACTGAGTTGGTAATTCGCCCATTCCTTCGAGCCCAAAATCCGAAATGTGGATAAATTTCGCATGAACACACTATCCATTTGTGATGGCTTATCGTCTAAACCATCGGACTAGTTTTCATTGAAATTAAGTTTAAAGATATGACATCGCGCAAACCTAACCTTGATTATTGGAAATAATAAGAAATAAGTGGAAACCAGCACGTAAAATGTAGGTACGATCAAAATGTGAACGTTGTTATGATATCTTAGCAATTAAAAACCCTACTAAGTATTATCATTTGTTTATTTTCTTTAGTAATCGGTCCCTCTGACGAACCTAGTTAGTGTAATGAGGAAACAAAGTTTGTCAGAACTGTCATATAGTATATTCACGCAATACATTCCATAGAATACAATCACACATTTATGTATGGAGAAATAAAGGTCAATCTAGAGAAATCGGAAAATGAGGAAAAATCATATATAAAACTAAATGATTCAAGTCACTGTAATAATAATAGGTATAGTATGAGCGCCAATTGTTTTTAAATATCTTGGGGGAGGAGGCGTTGAACTGTCGTTCTAATTGTTTTGCTAAGCATTCCCAATTATTTTTATAAACACTCAGATTCGTTAAAGTATCTAACATATCTTCTGGCTAGTATTTTTCATTACTACTGAGTCATATACGTATTATTGTAGAGCCATTATAAGAAATTAATTGAAAAGAAATATCTCTTTGCTCTATTCGTCTTTTTCTCCAATGTTTAAGTGGGAATTTTCGCTGTATCATAAAGAACAAATGAGATAGAAGAATGGAAATTTAGAAATGATACTCAAGATGTAGATGAAAGTGAATGAATGCAGCTTGCCACATTGACTTGGATTTGAGTCTCGTGTACAGGATCGTGGATACACACTGCTGAGGCGTCTCATACTAGGACGAAACAATCGTCCGGTGCTTTCAGGTTTTCAATCGTGATCTGGCTAAGATCAACCTGGAAAATTATTTTAAGGTTAATGATGTTGAACGCGTCTTAGTTTGTTAAAACGATGGATCTGAAAGATATACAATGATACAATGTCAATCAATAAGTAATCACAAAATTAGACTGTTGAGGAGCTGATATAGTTTCAGACCCTATTTGATGGTGCTCAAGCTAGAAATGAAATGAAAAAAGAATTGGGAAACTGGACAAGTAAAATCACAAAAGTTCAATATAGCCTTCCTTCGGTGCTAATTAACTCAGCAAATGCAAAATTGCTCACAGCAATAAATCCCAACCTTTAAAAGATCTAAAAAAGAGGAAACCACACTGGAGAACAACTGGGATTAGATTAAAGAGGACGTCCTGGGCCTCAAGAAGTACCGTCATAAACAATGAATCTCTGTTGATATCCTGGAAAAGATTCGAGAAAAGAGGAACAAAAAGGCAGCAACCAACAAGAGCAGAGAAAGTCAAGGCACAGGCAGAATACACAGAAGCAAACAAAGGAGTGAAGAGAAGCATTTTTATTTATTTTAACACGTAGATATTGGTATAAGGAGGCACCAAATACATATGCACCACACATATCTCGTTTGATTTGTGTGAGGGCTGTGATACTGTCCGGGTGCCCAAACCGAAGCAGGTAAAGAGAAACATTAGAGCTGATAAGCAGAAATACGTTGAAAACCTAGCAATGACAACGGAAAAAGCTTCAAGAAAGGGAAGTAGGAGATAACTGTAAGATACGGCGAAGAATCTGACGAGCAAAAAGTAAGTCAGGGCGACCAGTCGGATACAAAAAGGCGAACCAATCACTGCGATTCAAGAACAGCGGAACAGGTAGTTAGAGCACTTCGAAGAGCTCTCGAATAGAGCGACCCGCACTAAATCCACCGGACATAAAATCAGCACATACAGGCCTGTTACTTCACCAAAAATTGAATAAATCAGCAAGAGTATCGGAAAAATCAAAAGATGGGAAGCAGTTGGATCAGACAATATACCAGCAGCAGCCTCTGAAGCGGTAGACCTCAGCATACACAGGGGAACATGCAAAACCCTGAAATACAACACAGTGAGCACCAACGAAATCGTACTTGATAAATAAGCTATGAAAGAGGTGGGAATTTTCACGTACCTGAACATCATTATCGATGAACAAAGAGGGTCCAGTGCAGACGCAAATGCAAAGATTGGCAAAAAAGGGCGGTATTCCTACAGTTTAAGAACATATGCAACTCAAGACAATTGTCAGCCAACCTCAAAGTGAGAATCTTCAATACGAACGTCAAGACAGTTTTGTTGTACGGAGCTGAAACGTGAAGAACTACAACCATAATAAAAAATGTACACGTATTTATAAACAATTGTCCAGACAAGATACTTGAAATCAATTGGCCAGACACCATCAGCAATAACTTGTGGGAGAGAACAAACCATCTTCCAACTGAAGAGGAAATTAGGGAAACACTAGTCGTGGGTAGGACATGCGTTGCGAACGTAGTCGATCTGCATCATAAAGCAAGCGCTAACTTGCAATCTTGAGGTGAAAACGAAGAGAAGCAGACTAAATAACACGCTGCACCCGGAATCGAAGAGACATTACCAGAACAAACAGCATTTGTGAACAACTGGAAAAGAGAGCCCGGGACATATTAGGTTGGAGAATCTTGGTCGTCGGCCTATGCTCCACGAGGAGTAACAGGCGTAGGTACGTTTATTTTGCGTGTCATATCATCCTGTTTCTTTGTGAATTTCTTATGGCTGACTAATTCTTACCAAACAATTTGCCTCTGCACCATTACAACAAAAGTGTATTCACTCTGTTCTGAAATAGAACTTAGCATTGTATTTGTACTGATCTTTTTATATTTGTTTTCATCTTTGCAATGCTCTGCTGTAATATAAACTAGAACCCTTTCTTTCATTAGTATTTGTTATTTCCTTAAAGATACGACAGGTACAGTCTTTTGTCTAGTGATAATGCATAGCAAAACTAGTTTATGTCTCCTGACAAGTTTTGCTTTCTTTTCATCTTAAAAAGGTCAAGAAACTACACCTTCGTACAATTCAGACGAAGACGAAGACTACTGTCCAAGTGAAGATAGTGGTCGTGATTGGAAAGGTGTAGGTTTTTTTCAGTGCATTTCTTGTGCCCCAGTATTTTTGTGAACGTTAATACCCAATAACCCAGTGGGAGATTTAGTGAGAACGTCTCGACATAATACGTGTCTGTTACCATCAATAATTGTTCAGTAACAATCAGTGTAGCTAAATTAACAACTTGCAAGCACGAAATGATCGGTTTAGTATGGTTAAATAAATAAAATTCGTGTCAATCAATAAGAAAGCAGTTGAACCATTAAAGTACGAGAAAATAAATTCTAGTAACTTATAATTAGTATGGTCATAATACACAAATTTTAAGTCAGTTTTACAGGTTTGTTGATAATAAATAATTTTTAGTTTAATTCACAAACTGACTTTAACTTAATAACCACTAAAATATAGAGTATTAAACAGCTATTTCATCCTGGTATATAACTCAAATACATATTTTTGGGGTAACTGGTAAATTCAATTCTTTCTTTATCATATATTAACTTGTATTAATCGATTTGTTGTGGATAAAAGAATTTTAAATATGCTAGTAGTTTCTATGTTTAAAATACCTCACCACTATCACCATGAATTTAAATTTTTCGATCTCTGTAATGTTAAATTCCCAACTTCAGGTTTTTTCTCCAATAAGTCATATCAGAATTACTTTATTTTATTAATTTAGCACATTTGCTGAATTTGTAGATTTCCTTTTGGTGTAGTAGTTGTCTTGTCTTTTGGGCTGCTATCAGTGACAGTCATTGTAAAGCCTCGCACACGTATGCGTTAGCCGTAGTCGACAAGACAAAATTAACAAGGCTGTAGCATAGCATTCTTTACTGTGAAACTGACTTTGTCTCATATGTAGTGTTTATTGTTATAACTGAACGGCAGCAGATTTGAGGGTAGCGATTTATCGATCGGACCAAAGACGCACAGACACGTAGAACGACCTAGGGTTCTGATTGGCCCCGCTTCCCTATCTAGCCCAGCAGTTGAGTCCAGAACGCAAGTCACAGCCTCGGATATATGAATCATTATATTTCAAACATACTTTGTTTATATACCAGTCAAACGAACCACATCATACCATAAAATAGAAAATAACATTGTACAATATTGGCCAGTAGGAAAATGACACGTGGAATAAGTACTGATCAATAAGAAAATAATACCATGTCCAAGTCCAAGGATAGCACTAGGCTTAACAGGATAATTTTTGGGATATTTTCCTGAATATCCCAACACTCCTTTTTTTGGAGATCCTGGGTTAATGTCCGGATTTCGAATTTTCTTCGCGTCTATCCTCCCCCGCGAAATAATGTTGGGTCTTCATAAACCCAAATTACAATTGATTTGATTGTATTTAAAACACATTGCACAGGGAATTCAGTAGAATCGATCAGGTATTGAGGATAAACGCCATTCAATTCGGAGTAATCAGGGTTTAAATCTTTGGTAGGTATTGGATCATTATGATAATCGGCGTCTAACAAAACTGTTCCAGGTTCTTGGTTATTATTTGATGCGTGGAACACATTTTCTGGCAAAGCAATGAGATCTCGTGAGCTGGACATGATACTATCTGTACATGCTGCTTCGGGGATAACGGAGTTCGAATCCATTACCGGGCATGTTTCTGGAATAGAGAGTACTGGACCACTGGGCGCATCATGGATGACTGCCGTTTCATTTGAAGTACAGTTTATTGAGGATTCATGGAGGCTGCTGTCATTTTCCAGCTCACTGTGTAACTCAGATATCAGACCGTCCACTTCTGTCGCATCTTCATAGCGTGACTGATTTAGCAGCTGCGTGCGGAATTTGACTAATAACTCCAAATGTCGTTCAAAGAGCAGCTGTAATCGACCGGAAGGGAGAGTCATTTTTTCAAATCAGCACCTGTGATGAAAATTACTGTGTGAATAATGACCAATGTCGTTAAAGGACAGTGACGACAATCTGGATGCTGATTGGTTGAAATAATTAGACTAGATTTCGTCCAATTACAGAATGACTTCGGATTGTATTTTTTTCTTCACCCCGTCGCCAATTGTTATAACTGAACGGCAGCAGATTTGAGGGTAGCGATTTATCGATCGGACAAAGACGCACAGACACGTAGAACGACCTAGGGTTCTGATTGGCCCCGCTTCCCCATCTAGCCCAGCAGTTGAGTCCAGAACGCAAGTCACAGCCTCGGATATATGAATCATTATATTTCAAACATACTTTGTTTATATACCAGTCAAACGAACCACATCATACCATAAAATAGAAAATAACATTGTACAATATTGGCCAGTAGGAAAATGACACGTGGAATAAGTACTGATCAATAAGAAAATAATACCATGTCCAAGTCCAAGGATAGCACTAGGCTTAACAGGATAATTTTTGGGATATTTTCCTGAATATCCCAACACTTATTTAAACACTGAGATGATTCCACAAATTTAACCAATGATAATGCCTATGTGTCTGACACCAAGTACACCTGTTTAGTGAGCTTTGTAATACTTGCTAGACACTTGCCTTTAGTCTAAATATCTGGAGAATAGATCTAAAAGCCTGAAACTAATTAATTTAGTCCAGCTCATGCTCAGCTATGGTTTAAAACGAAATCGAATTGCGTTGTACAGCGTGTCTTATGTTATGAAGAGGATAAATCTCTAAAACCTGGACTCCACTGTTCGAACCCCAACAGTAATTGATCACTTTAAGTTTGTGCAAGATTTAAAACGGCTTGATACTGTCTCTAGATATTTCATATCTGCTTTCAAAGCGCAAAGTGTTAACCTTTTGGATCTCAGATATCCTGAGTACTTCTGTTTCTACTAACACTTCGTCCACTACTTATATATATCGTGTACGTGAAACAATTTATCAAAGCAGTGATACAGCTTTTAAGAAAATATTATATTAATGGCAGGAACAATCATACGATTGAGGGTAGAACGTTATCTCAGATTCTTCATCTTAACTGTTGAAATAAAAAAATGTAAAGCTTATGCACCACTCTCACTGCCTAAAGTTTTGAATCATCCTTTAGTAATTCCTTAATTACCTACACATATGTCTCGATCAATAGTGCCAGGAAATATCAACAGATGGTAGCTCAAATTTCATATCGTTTCTCATAACCACTACATTTAGTGACTTCACATCGTAACGGAAAACTACACAAGAATATATTTCGTGTTTGCAATTATAGGAAATTTAATCTCTTATGTAAATCATAAATATAGACGATATGTTTTATCTTTATGGTTTACATCGCCACTAAAAACCACAAAGCACTGGACAACTGTTTCGTCGTAGTATAAAGCACCACACCGCTAGACGAGAAATCTCGAATTTGATCCATGTTGTGAGGTCGCGGGTGCTCAGTGCTGAGGAGTCCTATATTGAGATAAAATTTACGTACAATACTTCCTGGTTTTCATTGGTTCTCTAACAATGGAAAACCCATGATGTAAACTAAAAGTTTAACATTCTCCATAATCCCATCATGCTAATATTTATAATTCACTGACCAACAGTACGAACTTCATATTACGTACTTGAATTACTTATTCTCTGAAACTCTCTTTTCTTTTCATATTTCCAACATGTTAAATAGGAGATAAAAATTGGTGAAGATTATCAGGCAAATATCCCTATGCTTGCCCTAGCATCAAGTGTAATAGAGAATCAATGTGATGAAAGTCGATCATCGTATTATGGTTCTGAACGGATTTTTCAAGAATCTAGTCTTGTATGGAAACCTTCGGAAAAGCTCTGTGAAGCTGATGTCACACGCTTTGAGCGATCATATGCCCAAGTTGTTCTGTCAACACTGCCTATTGAACGAACAATAGACGACGAAGAGGTAACTTCGGTCTTCATGTTTAAATTTATGCTCTAAGTACACATTTTTCCACCTTGACTACTCGTTAATAAGTGAAGTAGTAATGCTGAAATACACTGATTTCTCGAAAATACTATAGGCAATTTGAGTTTAATTCATTAAATTAGAATGTCCGTTTTACTTTATACTCGCTCGGAATGCATATACCAGATGTTTTATCCTTCATTTAGTGTTATTAAGTTTTATACTTCATCAGTACACTTGTTTAACCGCAGGAATAACCAATAAGGTCTGCAGTCTTAGGTTATAATTGTTATCTTAGCGACTCAAACACGATTTCAACCACATATTTATCTTTCTATTTTATTATTTACCATTATTTTATTTTTAGGCTTTATTCTTGTTAATGCGTTGTGATTATGATACGGATGAAGCGCTGCAACGATTACAATTTAAAGCAGTATCACCAATGGGTATGATGACTTTTTTAAAACCCGATGTCTGCACATGTGTGTAATCATGTTTTCTGTCGTTTGTGTGATCATCTTGGATAGTTTGTGAATAGTAATCACGTTTAATTTCCAATTATTCCGTTGATTCCAAATTAAGACTCAATTTTATTCACATTCAAAAGACAGATACATGCAAGCAAATAGAATAGTAATGAGATCTCGTATTCCTTGTTGTTGTAAATGTTTTTATATCTCTTGTAGTGTCAGTTATTATGACAAGCCCATATACCTTATTCTAACTTTCGGACATCCTATTTAATTCATTTTACTTGAGCCATATTTTGACCTTGTCAATTATTCGCTTGGCAGTCTTGATTGTTTTTGTGTGAGCGTATATGTGTGTACACTTCATGTCCCATGACTCATCACATGTCTGTTGTTTATTTTGTCTGCCTATAAATATTGAGTAATGCCTGGTTTGAAATGGAGTTGGCTTCCCAGCCATCTTACATGCGTGTCATTTTTACTTGACTTCACCGTGTGCTTGCTCACCGTACGCTTGTGGATTTTTATTATTCATTAACAATAAATTATCTCTACAACTGGTGTTTACTGCGCAGCAGTACGTCCCGTCCTACTTTATGGCAGTGAAACATGGCCGGTAAGAGTAGAGGATATTCGTAGATTACTAGTATTCGATCATAGGTGTCTTCGAAACATTGCTCGTATATCATGGGACCATCGAGTAAGTAACACAGTTGTTAGGAAACGGTTACTAGGTAAGGATGGCAAATCAATTGATGAAGTAGTGAAACTTCATCAGTTGAGATGGCTGGGACACGTGTTACGTAGGCCCAACGATCGACTGCCTCGACGTGCGATGTTCAGTGGTATAGGAGTAGGTTGGAAGAAAGCTAGGGGCGGCCAGACCAAAACATGGCACAAGTCGATGAAGTCACTGACAAGTGGTCTGAGTCATGTTGGTAGGTGTAGACTACCTGGTTGGGGACCGCGAGATGATAGCAACCGATGGTTAGAGACCCTGAATGACATGGCTCAAAATCGTTTGCAATGGCGCAGGTGCATCCACTCTTTGTGTTCTCCCAAATTCTAATCTTCTGAATTCTTCATGTCCCTTTTTTCCTCTTTCCAAATTTATTTCACTGAATTATACTCTTTAAATAACATCTCCAAACCCTAATCTTCCTGATCACTGCTTACACTCTTGCTACCTCTACTACTACGGGATTTGGATCGACAACTGCATCTCTGTGTTAAGGTGGTGTGGCAACTCGAACTGATGTACGTACGTACGAAGTTCTACGTTGTTACTGACTGACTGTTCAGGCTTTTGAATAATCTCGAGTAAATCCGTAATTCTACTAGGAGATTAAGCCTACCTTAAATATTCAGTTTTACGGGATATTATTTATTGGAGTCAGATATTGAGGACATTAGCCTCAACATATTAGCAGGCCGCCGTCTCAACACTATTCAAAAGTCTCGTATTTTCGGTGCATATAAATCATCTATTTTGTTTACATAGTTATGACATACCTTCTCCATCTTAAAAATGCTTTGAAAACTCATCCGTACATATTACTGTCAAGCTAAAATCACGCCCTGGTACGGCCGTGAGTGGGGAGAGTCCGCGCGTATACAGCCTCTGCCAGGGAAGTCCTACTCATTGCCTTCTCGTGGCGGGGGTGTTGTTTACAAAAATGGGAAGACGAAAACCGAATGGCCGGCACTTTAACCGGATTCCAAACCAATGGTGCACATGGGCTCCAGTATCCTGCGGGAACAAATGGCGTATGAACCAATTGTTGGTCACCGGCTACCATGGGATTGCATCTCCTTACGATGCTCCACTGCCTTGTGGGTTAGACCATTAGGTCAAAGGCTCGGGGTGTGGCCCTCTAAGATAACCACCTGCTTCGGTTTGGGCACCCGGGCAGTATCACAGCCCACACACAAATGATGAACTCTTTTTGTCTATGGAAATTACCTTTCTCGCTTCGAAAAACAATAAATTGATTCAAATTATTATCATTACAATTATTGTCATTATTAATACTATTATTATTACCATTATTGTCATTATTATTGTTATTATTATTATTATTTTCCACATTATTCACCCTCTTTTATACTTATACAGCGGTTCGTCTTTGGTGGATGTTTGTGTTCTATCCGAGACCCGTATTCAAGACTCTGGCGAAGTACTACAAATTCAATCTCCATCTGTCGCTTCGAAAAGCTTGTTTTACGTGCGTTTATCCGGGGACCCTGTGTCATCTTCGTCTGGTCTTGTTGGCGTCGGTGTCGCACTAAGCGCTAGAGCTGAGGCAGCACTAGTCGATTGTATCCCCATTAACAGTCGGTTATGTGCTGTTAGATTAGAGAGTTCCATCAAAGTGAGAAGAAATCGGCGTGAGAAACGATGTCTTTTCGTCATCTCCGCCTATGCTCCGACGGATTGCAGCCCGGATGGAATCAAGGATGAGTTTTACCACCAGTTATCTGTTCTTCTCCAGAAAGTGCGTTCGACAGATATTGTAGTACTAACCGGAGACTTGAATGCTCAGGTCGGGCGTCTAGGCACAGAAGAGAGTCGTTTAGGTGGCCGATGGGGACTTGTTGGTCGCAGGTCAGATAACGGGGACCGTCTACTGCAACTATGCACAGACCACAACCTGTTTCTGGCTAGCACTAAATTTCGGCACAGTCATCGCCGATGTGCCACCTGGCGTCCTCCCTCTGCATCTGAAGCCGGGACTCAGATTGATCACATCGCGATCAGCTACCACTGGCGTGGTTGTGTAAAAGACTGCCGCTCCTTTTGGAGTACTTATCTGGGCTCTGACCATGCCTTGGTCTGTGCCAATCTTGCCTTACTTTTCAGTGGACAACGAAGTGACCGCCATCAAAGGATTGATATTAGCAAGCTGGTTGCAACTTCTGTTGCAAGTAAGTATCGAACCGAGGTAGCTTCTAGGCTAGCTACCACTCCACCGAAAGGTATAGATGAGCATTGGTTGCAATTGCACGACGCCATGAAAACGGTGGGTACAGTCAGTTGTGGGTTTGCGAAACGTCCCGCTTATAAGCACTCGGTTTCTTCAGGCTCCTTACAACTCATTGAAGCCCGTCGGTCTACTCTGGGTGACCGTGAGTTTGACCATAAACGAAGGATGTTACGTAAGGAAATTGGGCAAAGCTTGCGTAAGGACCGAGAAGCCTGGTGGTCGGAGCGTGTTAATGAGCTGGAAGCAGCAGCTGCATCTGGTAACTACCGGAAGCTCTTCCAGCTCATCCGAGCCACTGGCAGCAAGAAGTCTGGTGTGAGTGAAACAATCTGTGAGGATAACGGGATGCCAATCACTAACATCCATCGAAGTCTTGGACGATGGGCAGAATTTTTCGAAGGGCAGTTCAACTGGGCTGCTGCCCCGGCAACATCGGTCAGACTGTCCTGCCCTCCATGGCCGGTGACGACTGATCCACCAAACGAGGAGGAAGTCCGCAAGGAACTCCAACTCTTGAAGCGTTGCAAATCACCTGGCCCAGTTGACTTACCTCCGGCTCTTTTTAAAGATGGTGGTGACTTTTTGACTAAGGAATTGACGACGTTGTTTACAAAGGTTTGGGAATTAGAGAGTGTACCAACGTCATGGAATGAGTCGATAGTTGTCCCTATCTTTAAAAAGGGTTCACGTCGTTCCTGCAACAACTATCGGGGGATAAGTCTGCGATAATGCCGAAGACATGCAATCCGCTCTTAATCAGTTGGCAATCAGTGTCCGTAGGTATGGTATGTGCTTTGCACCTTCGAAGTGCAAAGTACTTCTACAAGACTGGCAGGATTCTACTTCTGTACTCATCCTGGATGGTGATCAGATAGACGTAGTTCGTGTATCTAGGTAGCTGCATAAGTGCTGGTGGGGGTGTGAGTGATGAGATCAATGCACGTATAGTGAAAGTCAGAGCGGCTTATGCCAATCTGGGCCACCTTTGGCGCCTTCGTGATGTTAGTCTGGCTGTAAAAGGTCGGGTCTACAACGCGTCGGTGAGAGCAGTTTTGCTCTACGCTTGTGAAACCTGGCCTCTCCGAGTTGAGGACGTTAGACGACTCTCTGTGTTCGATCATCGCTGTCTCCGAAGGATCGCTGACATTCAGTGGCAACACCATGTTAGTAATGCAGAGGTTCGGCATCGTGTGTTCGGGCACAGAGATGATAATGCAATTGGTGTCACCATCTTGAAACACCGACTTCGGTGGCTTGGACATGTTCTACGAATGTCGTCCCAGAGAATTCCACGTCGTGCATTATTTGCCGACTCTGGGACTGGTTGGAAAAAGCGGAGAGGTGGTCATTATATGACATGGTATCGTGGTATGAAAGAGAGCTGCAAAGGACTGGCTTCTGTCGGTCCTTCACGACTCCCTGGTTGGGGTCTGAGAGATGGTGCTACACAGTGGCTAGAGACGTTATCAGATATGGCTCAGAATAGAAGCCAGTGGCGATCCTGCTGTAACCTTCTTTTACTTTCTTCATTAAAGGTGGTTGTGTCTCCCTTACTTGAAAGATTTCTTCTGATTGTACCTTTCCGTTCCATTGTTACTACCACACTACCTTACACCAATCTCTTCGTTATCGTTCTCTTTTTCTTTTGTGCTCCTTAGTTTTTTTTTCTATCTCTCTTCGAATTTTCATTGTTTTGTGTGGCGCATATATATTGGCGCTCTCTTGTACCAATATTTATGTGTTCAAATAATAAATAATAATAAAGTCACGTTTGGCATCGATACCTTAAATATTTTGATCATAGGTATCTTCAAAAATTGCTCGAATATTGTGGAACGATTGTGTGAACGGTTTTGAGTTTAGGCATAAGTACTAAACAAAAATGACATATCGGTTGATGGGAACAGGAATCTTTATGAACCGAGCCGGTTGGGGCATGTCACGTTGTATGCCACCCACTATCTCCCTCGATGAGTAATATTTACTGTAGTAGGTGTAGTTTGTAAAAAATAGGGGCAGATAAACCAAAACCTAGCATCAGTCCATGGAATCATTCACTGTTAGACTGAAGTGTGCTGGTACATCCTCACTACCTAGTTGGGCTCCACTCAATTACTGGTTGGTGAGTGACTAGATAACATAGTTTAAAACCGGATTTAGTGGAACAAATACATTCATTCTCCATCCTCCTTTAGATCATTAGTTTCAATATTCCTTCATATATACTTTTTTCCGGACCATATTCTCTAATGTTTAGTTTCTCTCAGTATCTATTCCGGTACAGTTATTTAGACCCGTTTACTGTTTGCTTTTTATTGTCACCTCGTTTGACTGACTTGATATGATGAGTTTGACTAATTCACATTTCCGCCAGGATCTATCCCTTGTATCTCATGTAAAATTGCACCATAAATATTTAGGCAGTTATATCAGTTAATTTTTATCATGCTATAAATGCATATGATAAATCATATTCTTCCTATATACATTCCTTTACATACCTATGCTTATTAATAGTACACATTCATGAGTGTTCCTCAAGTAAGTCCTATTACACTTTTGTCATCATTGCTACTGCATTATTTCGATTCCCTTTGCTCTCCATCTTGTTATTTCCATCTCGTCGTACTAATATGATAAACCGATTCAAGCCAATGCACATCTTTACCAGGCTCTGCGTTAATAATGAGCCAATGACATGATGACAGGGTGTTTTTGCTTTCACTAATATTGTAATTCGATTTGCGTGTTTTTGACTGTAATAATTTGTACTAGATGCCTGTTTTTTAATGTCAGAATAATGTATATTTCTTCGAAAGATCGTTTGTATCGGTCCATTGGTAAACGTAGATGGTCGTTAAATATGTATTCACTCTAAAAACCAACCCCTTGAAAAAATTAAACTTATTATGTAAAAGGCGAAATGTGATTCAGAAGTAAACCGAACTGTACGTTTTTTGTATACATTTATCTTAGTTTTAAACAAACGGAAATTGTAAATAGGAGTATTTCGTTTTAAGTACTATGGACTTCCGGCCATTTAGCTCTATGCTATGGCTTAATATTACTAACGATCTGCATAATCTTCCTTTTATAAGATTCCAGATTGAAGTTTGTGTATAGTTTGCTTTTGTTATCGATAAATTAAAGTTGGTTTGTATATAAATACGAATATGTTAAAATAAATCAATGCACAACATTGTTTTCGTTAATTTTATCATGTTATATTAGGTAACAACGCTAATTTTTAATTCGTTTTTGTATTGATTGTTTACAATTTATTTACGCGAATCATCAAGTACCAGGTCCCATGTTGCGACCGACTGATTCCCACAAATAGGAATTCTCATAAAGTGCAAGAAATGTTTTGGAATGATAAATAGCTCCTTTTTTCAGCCCTGAACTTTTTTATTTTGCATAATTCAATTCAAGTTGATAGCAGATAGAAAGTGTTCATAGGTCGCTAGATTTCAGTACAGACATATTTACTCTTGTTTGGTAAAACCTTCGACTGTGTAGTGTCGAAGTTACATGTAGAATACGAGATAAATATGTTAAATTGAAAAATGAGATTAGTTTTTGCGTTGTGTATTGCGTAAGGCTACTTCAGAGTTCGATGCTGGCCAGTGTGTGATTGAAATAAAGAAAAGTAAGGTTGATTAAACCAATAGGTGAGACTAGTTCATATAGTTGGTGAATATAGATCTAGTTATAATCGCAGACATTATTCATTATGTACTGTCATTTCTTATTTCATTCCCAGCTGTTCCCGGTTATCTAGATTCATGGTCGGAGTCTGATTGTGCAGCATTTGAGAAAAGTTTCGCTTTATGTGGAAAAGATTTTCGTCAAATACGAGAAACACGAGTGAGTAGATTTCACTTACCTCAAATATCGCATTATCTATCTAGATCTGTTTTTCCATGCCAACAAATAGAATAGTCAGATTCAAGTTACTACTATCATAATGTTTATAGACAAAATATTCAATGTTTAATGGTAAATAGGTATGAATCTATTTATCATGATATATCTGTTTATTCAATAAAAAGGAAATATGACCTGATGTATACCACGTTTACTGTTGCTAAACATAGTTGGAAACTTATTTTTTTTACATGTATTTAATATAAATATCTAAAACATTGAGTAGGCGTCAACGATTAGATAACATATTTAAGCCGTAACTTGCGACCTGACCATAGTTGAGATATGCATAATGATGAATATATTCTAGGAAATTCCGTATGCTCATTAGGTGGCTGAAGTAGAAATGAACTGAAAAAGACAATCATTTGGTCATTCTGTTTATATGGCAGAAATCTATTAAGTCATTTATCATTCGTTTAAACTGTATGGACGTGGTAGTTAATCAATCTGGTCGTCTATATTTTTACTCTCCTGTTGTTGAATTGTGTGCCTTCAACTTTTTGCTGCCAAACGTCAAGGCTATATTGCATATTGCCAATCACAAACGTGAATGACTCGATGTCATTTTTTAAAATTAGTTTTGCAAGCTGAATAGTAAAAATAACACACTACTGACAGGTTTTCGATTGGTTGTCTTGTTCACCTTGTATAATCCCACCACTAAAATATTTATCCTGTTTTTATTTCTTTGTTCTGGAATAGTATGCTAGATGGTGTACATTAATCTAGCACAAATGATTCCGTTGTCCATACTTCGCTTCGGGAGCATAATGTACTCTAAACCTTAGCAGTTTGATTGGGAAGCTTTCATGCTTGCTTGCGACAGTATCATTTCTAACTACTCAATCACGTCAAGAAAATATATTTCCAGTAGACACACCCTTGTGCTTCAAGTTTTCTTTAATTCCATGATGTATGTAACATGGATAGGTATGGTTACCCTACATGTCGTCGTTTTTCTACTCTTCCGTGTTATTTCACTGATCAATTACTTTTATTAACTTTAAAACTCGTTAATTCAATTGGTATAAACGAATCTAATCAACTTTTTGAAGAAATTGAAAGGAATAGTTATCAAAAAATTAATGATATGGAAAACCATTGGAAGTTGTAAGCATCAAACATTTGTCTTTAGTTTTGTAATCCACATTCATGACCCTCAATTGTGTTTTAATGGAAATCTGAAGTTTCAAAAACTAAAAGCCTACTACATGCACTAAAATCCATCGTGTTTTTCCTGTTTGATTAACTTCTATTGATTGTTTGTTTTTGTCAAATAAAATCATTTTATAGCTTCGTCATAAAACTGTGTCGGAACTGATTCATTTTTATTACCTTTGGAAGAAGACAGCACGTCATGATGAGTTTGCACGAATATATCGTAGGGATAAAAAGAAATCTTCACATCCTAACATTGCGTAAGTGTTTTTTTACAACTGTCGTAGTCTTTCGTCTATCTAAATATAATTTTCAGTAACTAGATTTCCACCAATGTCGGTATGAAAATCATTAGATTAAGATTACTTCATACCTTTCTTTCTACTGACTAATTCTTTCTCCCTGCATTATATATATGCAATCTTCTATAAATTAATACCATTGAAGTAACTACTATGAATTCAGTGTTCATTTTGTTGTGTTAATGGGGCACAGGGACTTGGACCGAGGCATATATGTGTCTGGTCCTACGTTGTAGCTGACTGACCAGTACAATGTGTGACTTGAATTGTCTAGTAAAATATTTGCTTACTCTATGATTTGTATTGATGAGTGACAATCCTCACTATCCTTATTCCGATTAAGACATTCCCTTATTTTTACGAGTTACAGCATCTTTGTCAGTCTATGAAACAAAAGTGAAACATACTACTTTTCAACCAATTTTGGTTGGTTTTATCCCTCAGCTGTAACTTTCTGGACGTGAAACGCCGTTCAATTAACCTATATAATTGTGATAACATTCCCAGTTAAAACTTGTAGTTGGGTAATATATTTTTCCGTGACTTCCTCTCACTTTTACATAGTTTGAGGGATATTCAGCCTATGCATTTATCTGGATTCTTTTCAATGTTGTTTATTATTAACTGTTCCGTGGTAATAATTGGTTCTGTCATTTCTGTCCTTTTATTCCCAAACAATATGAAACTAACTGCACTGCTTGTCCTACTTTGTTTAACATAAGGTTTTATGTAGCTACTTTGTTTTACTAATATTCCACTGACATTCACCGCACAACCATTCAATATATGTAGTTTTTTATTAAATCGAATACATTGTTTAGACGGAACAAGATGTCCTATAATGTAGGTTGATATGACGAAACGACTGTACTATTAAAAATTGTTAGTCATTTCTTAGTATGGAATTAACATTCGTTACAAATCACTCATCTGCTCAATACGTATATACATCCCGTAGGAAATAACCTTACTAAAAAACGTTAGCCTTATAAAGTTGAAGGATCTTTATTGTGAAGAACTATGACACCTCATGGTGAAAACCTATATTCTTCGTAAGTCAAGAGGCTGATGCCTTTTCTAATAACCAGAGCAACAACTAATATAGGTACAATTTATGTTCGGACAATATGGAAAACCGGGACGACCAATCAAATAGCTGTGAAAGTAAGAAGACACTACTTGACTGTTCTCGGGATCAGTGAAACCGATTAAACCCAAGCTGTACAGAAAAGGTTAGATTTGCGAGAGATACTGCTGTACTCCGATCACGAAGAAGAAAATGCGGTTGCACACTCAAGGGGTCGCTCTGATTCCATCTAAAGAAGCACGTATAGCACTAATAGGATGAAAATCTCACGAATCCAGGATCATCAAAGCATCCTTCAAAACAAAGAAGGGAATCACAATGCATGTTATCCAATATTGTGCTTCCACCAAGATCAGTTCTACGAGCTGCTGCAATCGATCATAGCGAAGTGTTCAGGAAAGAACCTGACCATCCTAATAGGAGACCTAAATGCCAAAGTTATGATGGACAATAACGAGTATAGAGATATAATTGAACGACGTGGACTGGTAAAAAGAGACGGAGACGATAAGAGATTTGCGAATCAATGTGCATTCAAAAAATGGTTTTAGGTGTCATAGTATTCTCCCACAAACTCGTATTCGATCCGAACGTCAAGACAGTTCTATTGTACGTAACCGAAACCTAGTGAGCTACCACAAAAAGTATTTATAAACAATTGCACTACGCATGATACTCAATGTCCGTTGGTCAGATGCCATCAACAGCCTACTGTGGAAGAAAACAAACCAGCTTCTAACTGAAAAGGAAATCAGAAAGACTCTGAATGAGGATAGGACAACCGGAAAGCATCAAACTACATCACGAAACGGGCGCTAGCCCCTAATCCTGATGAAAAACGGAAAAGAGAGAACAAAAACACTGCGCCGATAATTGGAAGCAGATATCAAAAGGATGAAGGGCTAGTAGATAAGATTGCACAGGACGGAGTTGGATGGAGAATGCGGCCTGTGCTCCTCCACGAAGGGTAACAGGCGTAGACATGAAGTTACAAATCAATGTTTGGCCGTGATGTGTTAGATAATAAATAACATTGTTTATTTAGGCTATGCTATTATAATGGAAAATTAATTACAAACATTTGCCTGACTGCTTGTTTTCATTCCATGATTTCTGAGATTATTACAACTTTGTAAAGTGAATTTAAATGTGAAACTTTTGTTTTTATGCTTTATTTTGTACACACTCCTGTTACTAATTACTTGACAGTGATTTTATGGATTGTTTGGCTATGGAACAAGAAATTATAGCGGAATCCTATATGCAAAATGCCAGTGATATAGTTCTGTCAACTGCAACATCGAATGCAGATATTCAATCCTATCCTCATAAATCCATTCAGCATACTTCAATCAATAATATCGGTTCCATAAAAGCTGGTGGTTGTCAGATAGGCTCATCAATCAGTTGTAACAATGGTCAAAATACTGGAGTAGTGTCAGCGAATTGTAGTGAAACCTGTACTTCAAGAAGTCCTGTTAATCGATTTACAGCTTTGTCAGACGACATAAGTAAGTTGTAGTAAATGTTCTTATTTAACATTTTCTTTATATTCCTAAATTGTAGGGCATATTCATTTTAGCATATTGTCATATATTAATTGAATAATTATGACATAGAGCCATATATTTTAAGCACCCCTAGTCTGGAGTTAACTTAATGTCGTTCGAACTAGTACCTCTAGTTAAAAGTCGAGTGTTTCATTGTTCAGGTTTAAGTAAATGTTTAGAATGCATTATCTTTACACATATATCTATGAAGTTCGAGCAACATGTTAAAGTATATGATGGAAATCGTTTGTGCATATCACTCTAGCATTACGCGAAAAAAATATCTAATTAGCCTTACTTTTGAGAACTTCCACAAGTGTTTTCGACAGGGAAAATAACGTAAATGTACTGCCCCGAATAGGGGAGTATTCGGGGACAGATTAGTCTGTAGTAAATGCTAAAAACTAATGTACAATAATTGTGGTTAATTCAAAGACCTAAAATCTTTGGTATTAGTTATGAACTGAATTTCATCGATTTTCAGAATAGTATTGACACAATAAGACGACGTTTGTGTATCCTTGATGTTATCTCATCATTGAAACAATCATCCAACCAAATTAGTAGTTGAGATGATATTTAAATTACTTTAAAACGTGCTCGCGACTTTGCTTTGTGAAATGTTCACATTTCCATGGGTTGCTGTGGTATGATCATATATATTCATTTTTCCTACTGTTTCTCTAAAAAGATTTTTCAGCCAACTTAATTTCAAGTATTTTTTCTTTCGGTGTTTTAGTAAACAGTGAAGTCACTACCAGTATACGCTTAGATGCTCCTGGGAATCAATGCAAATCGAAAACAAGTGGTAACTCATTGAATATATCAGTAAATACAACCAATAATAATAATAATAATAATTACAATGGAGCTTTTTGTATAAAGCAATCAGAGCATAGTTCATCATCCACACGTTCTACACGTACAGCATTGTCATCAACTGTAACTGTTTAGAGTTAACGGCGTTGGAAAATATATTCGATACTTTTTGGGCAACATTTTACTGTTTCTTGTTCTACATGTAACACTCCAATTTTTGTATGCACTGCTTCATTAAAGATTCCGATCTCTTGATAACTTAAGGTTTTTTCTACTGATTTTTAAGTGGTTGTACTTCAGTTTGCTGTAAAACTTTCTTGTTGTCTTTTGGTAGTTTGCTTATATGTTAGTAGATCTATGTAAGTCTGAATAATGTGTATTATATCAAAAACTACTGCTACTTTAAAAACAATGTGAGTTCAAAAATAGTATTTCTCATCATTCATGTTCTAGGTATATATTGTTGCTCTTCATTATTGTCGTATTATCTTTTGCTTCCCTTAATCAACCTGTACTCATGTTTAGAGTATATTTTCCTAATTTACTTTCATTATATTTGTATTTTTATCCTGTGCACGACGGATATTTTCTCACTAAATGTTCCTGTCTTCTACTGTACTGATAAAACTAAGATGGAAATGCTGTTAATAACATGTATAAAATATAAATTGTGTTACAATACTTGTCTAGAATTTATGTTACACCATCTTTCAAAACAAATCTGATCAGCGCTTCGTTAAAGATGCAGTTCAACTAATCTGTTACGCGATACATGTTGATTCTAAAACAATTAGCTGCAGCATGATTTACCAAGTTTAATAGTGTTTACAATTAACTAGCTAAGTTTAATTAGGCCTAGGAACACCAGGCATCGAGGAAAAAATTTAGTATTCCAGGTGGTCTGTGTAGAACTGTTTTAAAACCAGATAGGCGGGAGAACTAGAAGTTGAGAAGGAAGTCAAGAAACTTCACTTACTAATTATGAAGCGGTATGCCAACACAAATAATGATATCAGCGAAATGTAACCAGCCATTCAAAGGTTATGAAAACAATTTTCATCCTTTAGAAATTTATTTAATAGAGCATGCAGTGAAGTAAAAAAATGAAATAATTATTGCACGGTTATTGTGATTCCTGACCCCGATTGGTGAAAAATGTGTGGGTGCGATTAAAAACACTTAGAAATAAGTGACTGGTTAACTTGTTTTTGAAAGTGTGTGCTCATGTGATACATGAACAAACATTTTGTTGCCTGTAGGAGTTTGTTAATTGGTTGTAAACTGTACATCTTTGCAATGTGGTTAGTCCGAATGTAAGTAGCACAAAGTGGTTTGATTGGGTGTGAGAATTTTCATTTTTACACTTTAATTTTGTTTTTGATAAAAGATTCTGTCTGACTGTTCAGTCCGCATTTCGATAAAGAAATTATGACTTGTAAAGAAAATAAACGTCAGTCCCATTAAACTGCCGTGCTGTACTCCTGACTGTGAATAGATGTTGAAGTAAAAAGTTGGATTAAGTTTTTTCGGTCACATAAAAATGGGACTGAAGTCGGTTAGGTATCGTGACAAGAGAAATACCGTGCATATTATTAAAAGTAAACTTGTAACTAACTTTATTAGTGATTGCTGATGTTGAAAGCTTATAAAATGCTTAATACACACGTAGTAAACTTATATTTATTTTGCTATTCCAACGAGTTATGTTAGCACAGCTTGATCTTGTGATAATTGTTTTGTGCGTGTAAACATATGAACAAATCACCGTGGTAAGATAATGACTGCGGACAGTTTTAATCACGCTAAACGTCAAGGATCGGTGAATTAATAAACGTTTATTCTTTCTTAAACTAATAATAATCCCAGAGAAAGAATCAAATGATATTTATACTTGTTATAACTTGTAACCTTTATGCCCTGTTAATGTATAACGTAACGATACCGCCAATTAGAGAGCAATAATGCATAAAATACGTACGAGCAGTCTCGAGTCCTTATTGGTCCTGATTCCTGACTAGCCCAGCAAGTTAAGTCCAGAACACCAATCTCAGCCTCTGCAATATGAATCATTTATTTCAAACATACCAGGTTTATATACCATCCAGACAGATCACATCGTGCCAATAACATATGAAACATCATTTATACAAAATTGGCCAGATGTGGCTGTGAATGTAAGAGGTAGTAATTAATGGACAGGGCATAACTCAGGAATAGTAAATCGTATAATAATAGTTCGTAGGTTAAAATAAAGCTCATAGTAAGAGGGCAATGAATATGAACAGTTTAGTTATTTACCAATTGTACGGTAAAAACATACGCATAGTATCGGTCCACAAATGGATCCCAAAAGTTAACACTCATTATGCTTGTCGGGACATAATACTTAGGTGCTTTTGCAAACAGTAATTCTAAACACGAAAGAGTTGTTTCTTAATACACTTCGAAAAGGGTATCGATAATAAACACAATGTATTCTCGAGCAAAGTAGTTTATGGCTAAGTGAGTAGTTGTTACTTAATTTTGCAAGTCCATCAAAAGTAAAAGTCGTCTCCAACTTTACATTGTTCATTCTATGTAGTTGAGCACCATATATTTACGATAAGAAATCTCTGTATGCAGTAATGTAAATCAGTAGGTAGGTTTTGACGTAATGTCAGCAAGTGTTTTGTAAGTATGCATTTGCAATAAGACCAAATCATTGACCTGATTTTTTTTTAAATTTAGTTTGCAAATAACAACGCACAAGTTATCAATATGAGAAATTCAAGTTGGCAAAATCATTAACTAATTTTGACAAGTAGTTGAAATGTGACATGTATTGTTAGCGTTTACTTGCAAGCAAGAGCGATCTGAAACACAACAAAAGAGTCAGGACTGGCAGATTCCACTCAGGTGAGAACACGGCGTGCAAGCAAAAAAGAGATAGATTAAAAACTCAATTACCCGGTATAAGTAAAGAAAGTGGATGGGAGCTTATGTAGCAAGCCCATTCAACTATTGTATCATTTGTCTAGTCACTGTAATCCAGACACTCCATTCACTATGTTCATTTCTGTGTGTGTATGATTGAGCGCGAGTGTGCTCATCAACGCCAATCTATTCTCATATTATTTGTTACATACAGATTATTTGTATTATTAATATTATTATTATTATTATTAGCTTTATTCAATGATCAATAATTTATCCACACTTGATTGACACTCAAAAATATATATGGATTTTTAACACACACACTCACGCTTTTGGTTCCACAGTGTGCTTGCTGGCCATATAGTTATGTAGCAAGCATCATATACATCTAGACCAATTCCTCAGATTGCTCTCTTAACACAAAAATCATTCTTTATTTTCATTACTATTATTTTATTGGCTCCACGGATCAACATTATGCTTATATTTTAACTTTATGCAATTCGCTGATGTTAAATACACTTTTAAATATATATATGATATAAAACGTTTCAACACACAAGCTGTTATTACAACTTAACGCTTACTCATCATATCGAGTTGTACATTTATTTTCAAAACAATTCCGTTTCTTCTCTCTGTCGAACATAGATGTGAATGAAAATATATTTTGTAAATAAAACATCAATGTTCTGGATGGGAGCTTATGTAGCAAGCCCATTCAACTATTGTATCATTTGTCTAGTCACTGTAATCCAGACACTCCATTCACTATGTTCATTTCTGTGTGTGTATGATTGAGCGCGAGTGTGCTCATCAACGCCAATCTATTCTCATATTATTTGTTACATACAGATTATTTTTATTTTATATTATTATTATTATTATTATTATTAGCTTTATTCAATGATCAATAATTTATCCACACTTGATTGACACTCAAAAATATATATGGATTTTTAACACACACACACACACACACACTCACGCTTTTGGTTCCACAGTGTGCTTGCTGGCCATATAGTTATGTAGCAAGCATCATATACATCTAGACCAATTCCTCAGATTGCTCTCTTAACACAAAAATCATTCTTTATTTTCATTACTATTATTTTATTGGCTCCACGGATCATCATTATGCATATATTTTAACTTTATGCAATTCGCTGATGTTAAATACACTTTTATACATACATGACGTAAAACGTTTCAACACACAAGCTGTTATTACAACTTAACGCTTACTCATCATATCGAGTTGTACATTTATTTTCAAAACAATTCCGTTTCTTCTCTCTCTCGAACATAGATGTGAATGAAAATATATTTTGTAAATAAAACATCAATGTTCTGGATGGGAGCTTATGTAGCAAGCCCATTCAACTATTGTATCATTTGTCTAGTCACTGTAATCCAGACACTCCATTCACTATGTTCATTTCTGTGTGTGTATGATTGAGCGCGAGTGTGCTCATCAACGCCAATCTATTCTCATATTATTTGTTACATACAGATTATTTGTATTATTAATATTATTATTATTATTATTATTATTATTATTATTATTAGCTTTATTCAATGATCAATAATTTATCCACACTTGATTGACACTCAAAAATATATATGGATTTTTAACACACACACACACACACTCACGCTTTTGGTTCCACAGTGTGCTTGCTGGCCATATAGTTATGTAGCAAGCATCATATACATCTAGACCAATTCCTCAGATTGCTCTCTTAACACAAAAATCATTCTTTATTTTCATTACTATTATTTTATTGGCTCCACGGATCATCATTATGCATATATTTTAACTTTATGCAATTCGCTGATGTTAAATACACTTTTATACATACATGACGTAAAACGTTTCAACACACAAGCTGTTATTACAACTTAACGCTTACTCATCATATCGAGTTGTACATTTATTTTCAAAACAATTCCGTTTCTTCTCTCTGTCGAACATAGATGTGAATGAAAATATATTTTGTAAATAAAACATCAATGTTCTGGATGGGAGCTTATGTAGCAAGCCCATTCAACTATTGTATCATTTGTCTAGTCACTGTAATCCAGACACTCCATTCACTATGTTCATTTCTGTGTGTGTATGATTGAGCGCGAGTGTGCTCATCAACGCCAATCTATTCTCATATTATTTGTTACATACAGATTATTATTATTATTATTATTATTATTATTATCAGCTTTATTCAATGATCAATAATTTATCCACACTTGATTGACACTCAAAAATATATATGGATTTTTAACACACACACACACACACTCACGCTTTTGGTTCCACAGTGTGCTTGCTGGCCATATAGTTATGTAGCAAGCATCATATACATCTAGACCAATTCCTCAGATTGCTCTCTTAACACAAAAATCATTCTTTATTTTCATTACTATTATTTTATTGGCTCCACGGATCAACATTATGCTTACATTTTAAATTTATGCAATTCGCTGATGTTAAATACACTTTTAAATATATATATATATGATATAAAACGTTTCAACACACAAGCTGTTATTACAACTTAACGCTTACTCATCATATCGAGTTGTACATTTATTTTCAAAACAATTCCGTTTCTTCTCTCTGTCGAACATAGATGTGAATGAAAATATATTTTGTAAATAAAACATCAATGTTGTGGATGGGAGCTTATGTAGCAAGCCCATTCAACTATTGTATCATTTGTCTACTCACTGTAATTCAGACACTCCATTCACTATGTTCATTTCTG